TTTACATGTATGGACTCATTTAAATTTCCTATCAACCTTATAAGGTGGTACTATAATTACTCACTTTCTAGAAGTAGGGAAACCTCAACGGAGAGCTTGAGTAACTTGCCTAAGGTCACATAGTGAGTAACTGAAGGAGTTGGATTTGAATCCAGCAGTTCGATTCCTGTTGTCTTAAGTGGTATGACGCACTGCTGTTGTAATGGAATTACCGGCTTCATGTGAGGCTGGTATCTGGCAGGGGGTGAGGTGCAGAAGAGTAAAGTATTGTCCTATAAAGCCCTCAGTCTGCAGTGAGTTCTCCAACAAAACAAAGGTATACACATTCTGGGTTTAATGAGTTTAAATGCCATTCTTTTTCTTTTAAAGTGTAATAATTGTTAGATGCCATTTATGGCTGCTGAGATAGATTTGTGATTAAAAGAGAGAGTTCAAAATTTGAAAAAAGATGGAAGATCAGAGAAAGAAAAGATCAAAATAGGAGGATGAGAGAGTATAAAAATTAAGACAAGTTTAAAGCTGAAGATGTGGGGAATAAAAACTTGGAATGAATAACACTGTAAACAAGAAGTTTCCAAAATTCACACTTTTTTTTTTAATGTTTATTATTTTTGAGAGAGAGAGAGGAAGGGAGAGAGAGAGAGAAAAGGCAGGGAAGGGGCAGAGAAAGAGAGGGAGACACAGAATCTGAAGCAGGCTCCGTGCTCTGTGCTGACAGCTCAGAGCCCAACGTGGGGCTCGAACCCATGAATCGTGAGATCATTGACCTGAGCCGAAGTCGGCTGCTTAACTGACTGAGCCCCCAGGTGCCTCTAAAATTCATACTTTTAGTAACATATGTTAAATAAAAAATAAAAGAGCAAAGAACTAGAAAATATAAAATAAATAAATCTAAAAAAGTTAAGAATAACATGTTGGTAAATCCTGATGAAGTAAAATGGTTAGAAGTGTCTGAAAAGATGAAATTTTAAACAGGGGCCAGAAGGTAAGAGAGAAATTAAGGTAAAGGCTAAGAGTCATAAGGCAACAAGTGGGAATGATCTAGAAGGATTTACATTTAAATAGTTAAGAGAAAAATAATGCCATATAGAGGGAAAAGAAAAATGTACTATTTTTTAAAACTAAGTTTAAAGCGAGGCAAGAACAAAAACAGATTTTAATCAGACAAGGATTGCAAGTGGGAGAGTGTAGTCTGGGCAGGGCTAATTGCTGGTATTGAGGAGGCCAAGATCAATTGATATGGTCAGGATGAGACATATTTTCTGTTCACCCATTATGCTCTCAGCTGGCAGTCTATTGTCTGCACAGATAAAGGTGAGGTTCGTGGCACATGATTCCATCCCATCAAGGAAGGACTTTTGGGTCCTTCCAAAGTCATACCCCCAGGCCAGCAAAGCCTTCTTCACTTTGGTCCTTGGAATATGTTCAATTCTACCTTAGTTTTTCCTCTAACATATTTAATAGTCTTTTTGTTATCTTTTAGTTCATTCAAGCTGAGATTCACATGTGAAAGGCAATCAAAGCAGGTTGTTGTTGAATGGATTTATTCCATCTTATTTCCTTGAAGTTCTTGTGGTGGTTGGTTATTATATTGTTTGTTCTCTCTCTCTCTCTCTCTCTCTCTCTCCCCCCCCCCCACACACACACACATCTTTATCACCTAGCTTCGTTTTTGATGTTCTAAATACTTCTTACTGATGCGAGTTGCTTTGTTATTTACTCCTTTCAGCATAATTGGTGGCAGTAGAATTAGGTGGGGGAACAAGACAATTTACAGGACTTATTCTTGGATTGGGCTATTAGGGTGAGGGTATGGTGGTGAGGGACAGTGGAGTCACAGATGATTCCTGGGTGTCTGGTATCTGCCTTTGTGACTGAGTGGATATTAGTACAGAAGAAGATCAAGTTGGGGATGGTGGTGGTTAAGAATCAGGGTCAGGCTCGATCTGGGAAACTCTGGGGCACTGTAGCTGCCTATAATTCCTGAACCCCCAGAAGGCTTGGATTTCATAATAGACCCAATCCCTCCCAATGCCAGCACGGGATTCTTCTGGAGGTAGCAGAAGGCTCACTTCATATACCAACAGGGCATGGTAACCCTGGTCCTTTGTTCATATTCTGGGCATTCCTGAAAGCATTTTGCTTCATTAATTGGCTATCCATCAGCCAGCGACCAAAGTCAGACAAAGCTCATCACCTGGAACCTTTCATGCCAACACCATTCTGGAAGTACAGGGTTCACCCACAACCTCCTGCAGTTCTCTAAAAATATTCCTTTCATAGCAATGATAAGTTTCCATCTCTTGAAGCACCACTGAAATCTCCTGGAGCCCCAGCCAGGTTGAGCCTGATGAATCACCTTGGACCTTCAACAGAATACAGTTCTTTAGAACTGATACTCTATTCAAGGCTGTCAGGAGAATACAGGAATAGATTTTATCTTTTATACTTTATGGATTTGGGGCTTTTTCTTTTTTTTTTTTTAAATTTTTTTAATGTTTTATTTATTTCTAGGAGAGAGAGAGAGACAGCGTGAGCAGGGGAGGGTCAGAGAGAGAGGGAGTCACAGACGGAAACAGGCTCCAGGCTCTGAGCTGGCAGTCAGCACAGAGCCCGATGCGGGGCTCGAACCCACAAACCGCGAGATCATGACCTAAGCGAAAGTCGGACGCTTAACCGACTAAGCCACCCAGGCGCCCCTAATTTGGGGCTTTTTCTATATCACAAGTTGACTTTATCCCTTCTGCTCACATAATAATGGATTTAGCTTCTTTTTATCAAATTGTAACCATTTTGTGGTCCTGCCTTGCTTATGTTACACCTAGTGTCCCTTGGCTGATATTTTGGGTGTTCCTAAACTTTTCAGCCACACATTTCAAATTTCATGGTTTACTTCCATGGATGGCTGGTCACATCCATTGTGGATAGACTTACAGTCTCTTCGAGAAGAATATTTCTCTTCTGGGTAAGCTTGTTGTAATACTTGATATAAAGAGAATGTACTGGTTCTGGACTGGAGGTATGCTTGTGGGGCAAGCCTTTCATCCTTTCCTTTGGCCCACGTGAGGAAGCCCAGAGCTCATTCTACCTAGATGATGGTCACCCAGCCCTGTAGACTTCACACAGGCTGATACCACACTTTCTGCCGGCTGTCCCCAAATGGGATCTGTCTGTGGAACTTATGTACAATAATTGTCCTTTGCCCTTGTCCTTGCTCTTCTATTTCTGCTTCTTCTTTTTTTAAATGTTTATTTATTTTTGAGAGAGAGAGAGAGCGTGCTAACAGGGGAGGGGCAGAGACAGAGGGAGACACAGAATCCAAAGCAGGCTCCAGGCTCTGAGCTGTCAGCACAGAGCACAGTGATGAGGCTCGAACCCACACACTCAAGAGATCATGATTTGAGCCAAAGTCAGATGCTTAACCGACTGAGCCACCCAGGCTGCTTCTAATATTTTTGGTTTCCTTGGCTTCATCTCCCATTTCTGGCTCTGAAACCACAGCTTTTACGTTATCAGTACTTTGTTCTTTTCCTTTTCTGGGTCTTCTCATCCCTGGCTCCATTGGGGCTCCTCCCACCCATTGAATCCTTTGCCATCCTCTGCTTCCTCCCCCTGCTGGGCTTCTTCCATCATCTACAGTTTGAATAGACAAGTTTCGCCTACATCACAGTTTGGTGGAGGATTCAGACCTGTGTGAACATTAAAATTCAAAGGCTCATGGGTTCACATTCTTTAAACAGTGATTGAGGGTTTTCTTTGTGGCGAGCACTGGAGACACAAGATTAAATTAATATTTCCCATCTTCAAGAACTTCAGGTATTAGAAGAATCCTGAAATTAACAAATACTTTAAAAACATTAAGGCATTCAGGAACAATTTAATGTATTTCTTTTCCTTGCCTTAATGTGGAGCATATGGTGGTGGACTCCTTCACCACCCAGTTTCAAGCCACTGTCACTTTGACACCCTATTCCTGAACTTTGACTTTTTATGGTCAACACTAGGCGCCTGATCTCCACAGCATCTGACACTGGTGTCCACCTCCTTACTGGAATTCTTTCCTCTCCCACGGTCTTCTCAGTAGTCCTTCAACCATTCTTTTTTAAAAAAAAAATATATTTTATTTCTAAGTAATCTCTACATCCAAAGTGGGGCTCAAACTTACAACCCCTAGATCAAGAGTCACACGCTCTGCGGACTAAGCCAGCTAGGTACCCCCTTCAAGGAACATTCTGAGTGCTCTTTGGAGGTTCCCTTTCTTTTGTTCACAACTACAATGTTGATGCTTTCTAGGCTCCATCCTTTCTTCTCTACACACTTCCCTGGGCAGGCCACACTGACCTTTCCGTCCGTTTCTCAACTGAGCCCACTCTTTTACCTGAAACACGCCTCGCTACCCTCGTACTTGTTTGAAGTCCGCTTTTCCCCACCCGTGCGGGGGTAGGCTCCCACAGCTTCGCATACTCCGCGCTCCCACCAGTCTGCATTCGAGGGGGGTTGAGGAGGCCGGCGGGGAGGGGGGTCAGGGACCGCGCCTGGATTGCCCACCTCTTCATCTCCAGTGTCAGCCCAGCCCCGGCCCGTGAGCAGGTGTCCAACAACCAAGAGTCTAGAAAATGAAAGAATGAGTGAAGCCCTGCGCCAGGAAAGGACGGCCGTGGCTCCATCCGGGGGGCCTAGAAGCAGGGCGAGAACCCGGGCTGGGGGTGGTGTGGGGGGTCCCGAGCAGGGGCGGGAGGGCGCCTGGAGGGGTCTGGCTCTGGAGAAGGGGGTCGAGGCCGCCAGGGTCGCCCAGCTAGAGCCACCAGCTACAGCTCATCGACCCCACGGGGCGGGGCCACAGAAGTCGCGTTGGCCCTTGGCCAACTCTGCCACCTCCGCCGCAGACGAACCACCGTCTCTGCCGCGCTCTCGCTGCGCGCGGCGCTCTTGGCCCCCTCCGGCCACCGTTGCTTTCTACACGGCGGCGCCCCTGACCCGGAAGAGCATTCTCCTTAGCAACTGCGGGACCGCGGCGGCGGCAGCCTCCCGGGAGCTACGGTGAGGCCTCCCCGCCCCCGCCCCGCGCGCCCCACCTTGACCCCTTCCCTGGACCGGCCCCGGGCCTGGCCTGCCAGGTGCCCGCAGCGCTTAGCGGAGCACTTGCGGCGGCGGCGGCCCCGGGCGAGCGCCCTCCGCCTCTGGCATCGCTCCCCGGCTGCGGGTCGCCCCTGCCCACCACACGCCCCCCGCTCCCGGCCGACCCGGCCTGTCAGGCCCGGCTCCTCGCGCCGGGTCCCGCCGGCCCTTCCTCGTAGCCCCTTTCGGGGCGCGGATGAGAAAACCAAAATTAAACAGAGCCTGTTGCCGTAGAGAGGACGCTCCCCCAGGCTCGGGTCACCTGTGGACGCGTTCTCCTGGGTCCACATACCGATGTTTGGGACTGGCAGGGATGGAACACTTGGGGAGCCTTGAATGGCAGCCACTTAATCAGAATGCTTGATGTTTGCCTGCTGCTTTGCGCTTTCCAAAGTCATGTCTTTTATCTGCTTGGTTGATCGTGGAGACTCATGTAATTGAACATTTTTCAACTGGTCGTTTCCCGGGGATTAGGGTTCCTGTTTTTAGTGATGTGCGGTTAGTATTATGTAGCTTAGATTTTGTGCCTTCCGATTTTCTCTCCCCGGGACTGATTAAGTTTGGGAAAAATTTCAAGGAATTTTGCTACGTTGAAGAAAGTAGGGGCAGGTGTTGTCAATACCTCTGATTTACATTTGAAAAGACACAGTGATACTGAGCACCTCCCTTTATTAAGTTTGTAGGTGTGGTTCTAAGAAAACTCTAAACCGTATTTGAACATTGTTGGGTAACTACTTTATATTGAATGATGATATGGGCGCCTGGGGTGGCTCAGTCGGTTTTGAGTGTCTGACGTCAGCTCAGGTCATGATCTCAAGGTTGGTGGGTTCGAGCCCCACATTCGCCTTTGTGCTGACAGGAACCTGGAGTCCGCTTCACATTCTGTGTCCCGTCTCTTTCTGCAACGCCCTCAAAAAGAAATAAACGTTAATGATGATAGAGTTAAAACAGGCACACGAACAATTTTTGGGAATGACATTTGGGAATAAAAGTGCAGGAATTTCTATACCAAAATCCATTAATCAATGCGCTATAGTAAGTATTTAACAAGTACCCACAGTGTTCTATGTACGTGAAAGGATGTAAACTAAGAGACTGCACATTAAATTGTTGGGAAAACTATAAAATAGCATTTGCTTAAATACAAAGTCAGAGGGAGGAGAATCAGTACGGGCTGGAGTTTTCTGTAATATGTTTATGGATTATATCTCTAAAATATAGATACAGTTTGTATTTGTATTGGAGGGGACAGGAAATCTTAAATAGTTTGTTATGTTAAGCATCTGGGAAATAGTCCCACGCGTGACATTTTGTAGTCCTTATTTAAAGCTCTATGGTCACTTAATTCTGTTTCACTCTTCGTACAAATCAGTATGGTATTTTTTTTTTTCTGTTTGAGATCTAAATGAATATGGTTACTTCCAGGAGGCTTTGCCACCTAAGGGATTCATTCCTTTGCTTCTGTGATGGTCTTACTTTTATATGAGACACCACAGTTTTCAGCCGAGTTAGTAACTAGTTCATATGTACTTAAGAGTCTTGTGAAATGTTGCTCTTAATATTTGACAGGTATTTCTAGAGTGCTTCCTATGCAGCAGGCACTGTATCAAAAAATACCAAAAACAGGTTATTCAACAAGGAGTAGTTCTGCTTTATCTATTCTGTGTGTGTGTGTGTGTGTGTGTGTGTGTGTGTGTTCATATGTTTTACCCATCAGCCTTTGGTGCTCAGCATTTGCCTAGGGATATAGAAGGGCCAGAGAAGGGGGCACCTGGTTGGCTCCGTCAGTTAAGCATCCGACTTCGGCTCGTCATGATCTCACAGTTCGTGGGTTCGAGCCCCACATTGGGCTCCGTGCTGAGCCTGGAGTCTGCTTCAGATTCTGTGTCTCCCTCTCTCTCTCTGACCCTCCCTTGCTCACGCTGTCTCTTTCTCTCAGAAATAAAGAAAACATTAAAAAAAAAAAAAAAAAGAAGGGCCAGAGAAGTTTATATAGGCACTGAATTAACTTTTTTTCCTCTTAAGAGTTGAGTAGGGATTTTAGGTTCAGTGCTTTGGACATCCTCCAAAGATTCATTAAGGAGACCTCTTACAGTGTTTCATTGCTTTCTTGTAGTATAGTTTCAGTGCCCATTTATTTACTTTTCTAACAAGTATTTGAGTGCCTATTTGGTATGTTGTGCTTGTGTTGGAAATGGGGGAGAGTAAATGCATCCGTGGCTCCTGTCTTCAGCAGATGATACCAAATAGTCACACGAATGTGAAACTGCAGCTATTTTTTTCTTTTTTCTTTTTTTGACTTAAGGCAGTCACAGGAACTACGTTTGAACTAAGATCTGAAGAATGCACAGGAAGGGAAGAGTGTTCCAGTCAGCGCAAACAGCTCGGGCAAAGATAGTAGAATTCATGGGGAGGCCTGGGAACTTGGGGGACAGCTCTATGTAGAGGACAGGAAGACTGTTGGAAGAATCTGACGGGAGAGGGGGCTGGAGAGGTGGGCCCCAGGGCCTAGTAAGCAGGTGGAGGACTTTTTCTTACCTTTGGAATAAAGAGAAGCCTCTATACAGTTTTACTTAGAGACTTTGCCTGGATTGCAGGTGGGGATGACTCTGTTAGATTGTGTTTCCACAGCCTGCTTTGTATTTCTATCTTTGCTTAGTATCTGTATTGTCTTCTCTTTCCTCATTTCCTCAGTGTGCTCCCTCAGCATCATTATTGTTGGAGAAGCTTCCATGTCCTACCGGAGAGATGTGTCCACTCTTTTTCCCCCTTAATTGGGAGAAAAGGAATTTTAGGGATTAGTATTGGACACTAGAAGTCAGTTGATTTGAAATATTTTTGCATCAGTATGACTCTTAGGGCACTAACTTCTGTGACCTGATTCTTTTTAATTGTAGCAATAAAAACATGTAATATAAAACTTACACTCTTAAACCATTTTTAAGTATACAGTTCAGTGATGTTAACTGTATTTACACTGTTGTGTAACAGGTCACTGGGGCTTTTTTATCTTGGAAAACTAAAACTCTGTACCCAATGAACATCTTCCTGTTTCTTCCCCCTGCACCCCCCCCCCCCCAAGCTCAAGGTACAATTGAGTTTTATTGCTCTAAATGTTTTTTGAAAGAATCATATTTGTACCACATTTTGTAGTGCTCATCTCAGAATGCCTTCAGATCAGTTGATTTTCAGTATTGGACTGGAAATAATTTTGAGACAGTTCCATATTTTAAGTACAGAAAAGCATAACTAAGCATTTTCTTGGGTGGAGGTTTGTAAACTTTTATTTGCCGTTTTCCCAGTTTACCCTAGACTTCATATTCGTGTAGTGTTGTATAACTAGGCTTATAGAATCCAGTTTTTAGAATGACCATTGAACCTTCAGAAAGTGTTTTTTTTTTTTTTTTTTACTTTAAATGGGAAGTTGCTGTGAAAAGTGAAGTTCATTTTCATTGAAATACTACTGAGCACATGCACAAAGCAGACGGTGGGCCTGGAATGGTTCTGTAGACCCTCTGAGGTCCAGCTGTCTGTGCGATTACTGGTGACATCAGGGAGACAGCCAGAATTCTTGTCATCTTTATTAGATGAGGGGTAGTGGTGGAACTGCAGAGAAGCTCCTTTTTTTCCACATCAGGGGAGATAGAAGGATTTGACGAGAACTTTTCAGATAGCATTTTATTTGAACCATAGCAAGAACTTGATGTCCCAGCATTGCAATTATGTGATTAACTCTCATGTTGAGACTGAAAATGGTTGGGTTTAGTCAACTGTTAGTCTGAAGAAACCTACTTTTCTATTTTTTTTTCCCTATGATGGTAAAATTTACTATCTTAACCATTTTTAAATGTTTGGTGGTATTAAATACATTCATAATGTACAAACATCACCACCATCCATCTCCATAACTGTATTTCATCTCATAAAACTGAAACTCTATTCCTGTTAAACGACTCCTTAGTTTTTCCTCTCTCCAGCCTCTGGCAACTACTATTCTACCTCTGTCTCTATGATTTTGGGCACTCCCTTGAGTACCTCAGAAGTGGAATCATATGGTATTTTTTTTTGTGACTGCCTTATTTCATTTAGCATAATATTCTTTTATTTATTTATTAATAAAGAGATTAATTAATAAGAGAGATATATATAGAGAGAGCAAACAAGAGAGAAGCAGAGAGAGACACACACAGAATCTGAAGCAGGCTCCAGGCTCTGAGCTGTCAGCACAGAGCCTGATTCAGGGCTTGAATCCACAAACTGCATGATCATGACCTGAGCCGAAGTCAGATGCTCAACTGACTGAGCCACCCAGGATCCCCAATTTATTAAAATTTTTTTAGTGTTTATTTATTTTTGAGAGAGAGAGAGATACAGAGCGTGAGCACGGTAGGGGCAGAGAGAGAGGGAGACAGAATCTGAAGCAGGCTCCAGGCTCTGAGTTGTTAGCACAGAGTCTGATGCTGGGCTTGAACTCAAACCACTAGATCATGACCTGAGTCCAAGTCAGACACTTAACCGACTGAGCCACCCAGGTGGCCCAGAATATCCTCCTTTTTAAAGGCTGAATAATATTCCATTTTATGGATATACCACATTTTGCCTATTCATTCATCTATTGATGAACACTTGGGTTGTTTCCGCGGTTTAGCTGTTGTGAATGATGCTGGTATGAACATCGGTGTACCATCCAACTACTTTAGATTCCTTTCTTACATCCCCGTACAGCTTCCTCTGGGATGCACTAATGTTGGCAGACAAGAAACGGTGTTCATACCGGCAGGGATGGACTTTAACGGGGGCACAAAGTACAGTGAAAATGTCACTGGTGAAATCACCTGGGACTGATAAGGGCTGACAGAGATACCCTGCCTCAGAAAAATGCCTTCTTTTTTTTTCTAATGTTTTTTTAAAAAAAGTTATTT